ACCAGGGATTCGGAGTGGCGGTGTCTAGGAATGCTAGAAGGCGTCGGTCGAGGTATAGCCCGTGCGCTCCCGTCTCTGCCGGACGCGATGCTATTCTCCTTAGACTCGAAGTTCCCCGAGCTCTTCCTCGAGAGGCGGCGACTGCCAAAAGGCTGGGTGTTGTTCTTTCGCCCGTTCGGTTTTGTGGTAAGGACGCCCCCGATCTCGGACGGATTGCGCTCCATTATCTTGCTGTGTGTATACAAATCGCGCTCGTCTGTGGCAAGTGCTGCCTAGCGACGGCCGAAGATTGCGAGAGTGTGACGGTTCAGGCGGGTAAGTCCAAGAGCATGACGCTGCCGTACGAGGAATACATGCTGTGCGCAAGCAACAGACGTATTTGTTGAATTCTCTCTAAGTCAGCGACAAACTGCGACAGTATAACAATGGGTATTCCGTATGCGATTCGAAATCACAGAAATGGTGCGGGCAATTGGACAATATAACAACCACTTGTCGCGATACAGCTGTGCCAGATAGCTGGCCGTCGCGATTCACGTTGTTCGCCAAGTCAAGTTGGTCTGTTTTTATTGGGTCCACTTACCAACTACAACGCGTTGGAGGTCCAAACTTATCGCCCAGCTAGTCCTAATTAGAGCATATGGCGGGGTCGACAAGAGTTATAGGGCGATCTAGGATAAAAGCAAGGCAGCAGTCTTAAAACAGCAATAATAAAAAACAATAGGGCAAGTACCTAATTATTGCAGCTACTTAAGTACCTAGGTATATAGATTCATGACATAGGTAGGTAGCTGAACCATGAGGAACATAACCTTTTCCACTTATTTACCTTCCTTTACTCTGACGAATGCCCCCATAAAATCGGCTGCATCCTGAGCTCCCTCGAGATGATGTAGGCTCTGAACAAAGTAAGAGGGGACCCCAGAACCCGTTACTTTCTCACGAAACTCCTTTGCTTCCTCATCAACACTGTCAGCAGCGGCATTCGAGCTCAGCCATCCGTCCACCTCGGCCTTTTCCAGGCCCGCTTCTAGCGCAATCTCGCGTAGTACATCGAGCGACGAGATATCTTTCTCGAGCTCATGGTAGGCATGAAAAATCTTCTCAACTAGAGCATTTGCGATTTCTGGTGGTTTACTGCGGCTGAGGTGTACTAGGCGATGGGCATCTCGTGTATGAGGCCCGATCGAGCCGCCGTGCTTAAAGTGAATTCCCACGGCACGTCCTGCTTGTTCCACACGTTTCATGGCAGCCGCCTTCTTCTCCTCGCTCCAGTTCGCCAACTTGACTTTGGCGAGCTCACTCTTCTCAACGCTATAGCCGAAGGTATTGTAGCCCAGATAATAGGGCCGCCATCTGATCCGGAAAACATCATTTTTTCCTCCTGGATAGACTTTCTGGTACAAGGCGATGGCGCTCTCAAGTTTTCGCTTGCCGATGTAGCACCACTAATAGCATCGTGAGCCCAATCATAGCTCAGCCGACAATAGGGTAGATTTAAGCACGTACGGCGCAAACGAAATCAGAAATAACATCAATTTCGATGACCACCATTTTCAAGAGCTAGTCTTATCCATCCGCAGTATCATCTACAAAAGCACAACCTGTCTACCTTTGGGAATGTCCCGTCCTTGTATTACGAAAAAATTGGAGCTGGCGGGATCCCGCCCGGAACAAGTGGGGATAGTTCAGACCTAAGTATAGTCGCGCTGCCTGCCGACTGTAAGTCCCTGAAGCTGTCGCAACTAACTCCATCCTAGAGACAACCTTAGAACTAATCATTCTCTGTATATAGTAGTAATTTTACTTTAATACGCTCTGAACTACTACAGCGTCTCAAGTCGGTTCAACTAGCTTTTTTGTTACAAGATGTAGTTTATTTATCAATGTCTACCATTCAGCCGCTAACATCATGTCACATGTCACATGTATAGCCTTGTTGCTTATATCCCCTGTTAACGCACAACAACATTCATCAACTAAAGCCTTTCCGTTGTCGATTTCTAATACCTTAACAACACTCAGCATTTCCTATTATACAAAACCAATTAGTAATAATTGCAGGGCATTACCGGGCTTTCTTACAGCCATGCCCCTAAGCACTACGATTCGTCGGAGACCGGAGTTGTAAGCTCAAGCATCCGTGTCCTGCATTCAGCTTACAAATGCGGAGAGGTTATTTTCACCGCGGTCCTTCGAAAACATCTTAGGCATCGGTTATAGTAAGGTTTTGTCAGATCTCATGGTGAGAGATTGAAGGTTTAGCGCAAGGTGTCTTACACGATCTTGGACAATCTTGTTAACATATCCCTGTTCGCGGCTCTAATGTTAGTCTCGTCTCTTTAGCAGAGAATTCTGTGATGTAGAGCGATAATATATTGAAGGCGGTTGGCAATGCCCCCTTGGCATACAGCAAAGGCTTCCCCTATCCATATGGAGTTTCTAATTAGGTACATACAACGTGTTTAGGTTAGGTAAACTGGGTACCCGAGGTGGATCTAACGTAGGACACTGAATCATCTATCCACCATATGAGATGTCTGATCCGAAATGTAATTAATGCACGGGACAAAAGAAAAACCCAGCATGTTCCCCGCTTGTCTCATGTTCGGACCCGTTAGCCAGCCTTATAGTGTGCAGGGCTAAAGGACTACGTACAGGTAACGGGGAGAAAGTAAACCCATCCGGGCAAGGTGTTTGGCCATTGCCGATTTCTAGCGGTCAACTACCATGCGGGACGGGAAGCGGTAGCTGACAAATAAGATACCGAAACATTGTGCTCCGTCGACCGTAACGAAAACTTTAAAAGAGGGGTGACCCGGGTCTCGGGTCAGGTCATCTCTGTCCGCTCAGTTCACACCATCTTCGATTGCAACATACTCCACTAAATCACAACATCTCCCTCAACTCGGTACTTGAGCTCTAAGTAGAACTACCACTACCAACGATCAACCCCAATAAAACACGTTCAACATGGCTCCCTTCGGCAAGATCTACTCATACCCTAACAACCCCCGTGTCAACCGTGTAAGTCAACTTTTCATTCGCCTCTTGTTCCTACAATGAACCATCTGTCTCTCAGCAGCAAGTTGCTAATGATGCGGTCTAGGCGTTGATCATGGCCGATATGAATGGTCTGGAGATAGAAATTCCGCCATACACAATGCGCGAAACCAACACAACTCCGGAGTTCTTATCCAAGTTCGCGCTCGGCAAGGTCCCAGCCTTTGAGGGCGCCGATGGCTTTTGCGTTGTTGAGAGTATTGCCATTGCCACTTACATAGCGAGGTCAGGTCCGAAAGCGGGCCAACTCCTTGGTACAGGTACGGCGTTCGCTGATGCGTAATGCTCAACGAGACTAAATCCTCGGCCTCACAGATGCCAAGACACAGGCCCTTATCACGCAGTGGGCTGCCTTCTCCGAGGGCGAGTTGTTCAACAACGCCTTCGTACCAATTGCCATGACAGTCAGTAAGTAATTCTTCTCTTCATAAAAGCTCGTCGGGAAGTCCGGTCACCGCCCTTTTTGAAAACCAAAGTATTGACATGCAACGTAATTAGTGAAAGTCTATACTCTTGATGAGAAGCGCTTCAACGATCACATCGTCGGCTTGAAGCGAGATGTCAAGTATCTTGAACACGTCCTACAGGGCGGAAAGAAGTATCTCGTTGGAGACCAACTAACGATGGCCGACCTCATGGTCACCAGCCTCTTGTATTTCGGCTTCAAGTACATAATAAATGCCGAGTGGCGCGAGGAGCTGCCAAACTTGGTCGCCTACATCAAAAACTTTGCTGATGCTCCGGAGCACAAGAAGTACTACGGCGAGCTGGAGATGTGTGAGAACAGCATCACGGCCAAAGACTCCTAAGCGGAATTTGTATGACCCATGGGTATGAACAATTAGCGCAGTAGGAGATAGAAGCTGGATTTCAGCGAAGATAATTTTAACCAGTGTACTATCACGTTTTGATGTCCTCCTATTAGCGTATGTGTGGTGATCCTTTTAAAATCCAACAATCAAGAAAATGTTGGCCGAGATACAATAACATTCGAATTGACAGCTGGAACCAACCGAAACAGAATAGAAGTACATGTGATGACGATTATATTACATGGCTTAGACAATGTACTTGCTACCCTTCTAGTTGATGAACAAGATAGCAATAGGATGATAACGAAACTTCCAAGGAGTCTTGCGTCTCCCCATCACGAATCTAGGTTAATATTCCTTGTAACATTCAAACACAGGTATAGTAGTGGTCCTAGATCCATATTGAGCCATAGTTGCCTCTGGCCATCTTTCAGCCCGCCTCTGAATACTGATAATAATGTAAGAAAAAATCAAGAAAATCTTGATCTTAGAAGACTAAAGACTATAACTTGCGTACATATGACCCGCAATGTAAGAGTTGCTTCTTCGCATTCAATAAGAAGCATGCCGGGGGCTTTCCTTACCTATTGCACCTTGCTAAAGTTATTAAGTTAGATACATAGCAGTAGGAAGAGCGTCATAGGGGACTGTTAAGTAATGTTCTTGTGATACACACCGCTCTGGCCATCGAGTGACTGGAATCCATATACTCTTCTGGCATTTATCGGAACATTTGGTAGCTTCGAAGAGACATTTAGAAACACCTACAAGCACTACGTTGCGCCCTAGTAACGTAGGATTATCGCGAAGGTTTTCATGTTTGATCTTTCCTTTCTTCGTAGACATAAATCTAGAGGGTTACCTCATGCCATATGATAGCCCCAAACTTTTCTATAGAGCTTTTGACTCCCATATTCTAGACCAAAATTTGCCTCCTTTTAGCACCAAACGGACCTAGCACACCTTCAGAAGTCAAGTTTGCCAATCCGATGGGCCTAAGATAGCTTCTCGGCGCACACTTCTCCTAGGTGATTCTAGAATAAATTTCCAGCCCTAGCGTGTGACTATGCTCGGGTAGTAGGGGACGATTGATGGGCAGAGTCTCAACCCACAGTCCCCAATGACGCCCGGTTAGCTCAATCGGTAGAGCGTGAGACTCTTAATCTCAAGGTTGCGGGTCAGTAGCATATTTAAACCATTCACGACTGAAATATGACTAACAATATCATCAGGTTCGACCCCCGCATCGGGCTCAATTCCTGATGCCTCCTAAGTTAACTAGGAGTAGCAACCCCTCTGTTTTTTTTTTTCTCTTTTTACTTTTCTCCTTGATAAAGCTAGCAATAGAATAATTCATGCTATTAACTCCATCTCAAAGATTTTCTATTCTTAAAATTATTCTATTTTGAAATATGAGTAAAATAGAGTGACTATTGTAGCTTGAAGATTATATAATCAGGTGGGTAAGGTAATAGGTAAATAAACTGCCCACAACCACCTTTTTCTTGGACCACTTAGCTTAGCCCTACGTATCTCCACACCTAATACAACCTCAATCTGTCCACTCAGCTTGTTCGTCCACCCACACACGCCCACAACTATGTAATTTCTTCTTGGCGCCAAAGCTTCCTTACAGAGCCGAGACCGGTCCATACATGACTCCATTCCACGGGCAGGCTGTCATCAAACACAGGCAACGTGGCTGAGTGGTTATAGCGTACGACTAGAAATATAGGAATCTATACAATAATATATCTATATCTTGCGATCGTATCCCTTCGGGGTCACAGGTTCGAGTCCTGTCGTTGTCGTCTCGCAGGTCGTCGCACTTGGCAACAGGTGTTCGCTTGCATGGTCTGGTGGTCTAGTGGTATGATTCTCGCTTAGGGTACACCCTATGCTCAATATGCGAGAGGTCCCGGGTTCAATCCCCGGCCAGACCCATATGTTTTGCCGTTTATCTTTTGGTCTCCTTTTTATATCACATATTGTTATCGAAGTCTCTGTTCCAGCTGCCTAGAAATCGAGTGGACGACAGAAATAAGTATGTGGTAAAGTGGAAAAGCCTGTGTAAGGCTGAGCCATGTTGTCTAAGGGTTGTTGTAATACTGCAGTGACTGTAAACCATGTACTGGAATATTATTGAAGAGGGGTAGGGGGTAGGGGGTATGGGGGATAAATACCATATTTGGATGCGAAGCAAGCCAGCAAGTCTAATTCAGGAGAGATTTTTGTATGTAGTGTAACGACATCACGTGGAAAGTGTTTTCAAATATAAATTTATAGATGGTGGCTGCAGCAAATGCCAAGGATTAACATGGAGCGTTTTGCCCGTTGAAGACATCCCGTTTTGGACGAGATAGTCCGACATGTAGAACAAACCATCGATCAAACATCGCACATGTATTTCGGGTGCTTACGCGTAAACTATCGGGTGCGCTGGCCTGATTTAAGTGGTTTTTTTTCGGGAATAAATTAGAAGTATTTTTGTACTTTGAAGCACTTCGAAATAGAATATATATATAGCCTGGAAAAGGCGCACCTTTGTTGACACGAACGAATCAGGCCAGCCATCGTATTACTTGATCTTTCAAGTGTCAAAACCAGAGTGTAATTCAATTAGGCGCGATATCGTAACCTCAAGTCGTTAATCGAGGGGAGTCGTATACTCGAATGAACAGTAATGACCCGCGAGGTGGGGACTAAGCTTCACTTCAGCACCGTGGCTACGCCCTTCGATGACAAACCCAATCACCGGTCCCGGAGTACGAGCATATTTCAGCAAACTTCACTACAGTCGAACACGCGAAACAATCCCGCAAGGCTCCAAATCATTTATACTCGAATTTCGCCACTGTCCCGCTCTAAGATGACCCAATCACAGACCCATTGGATCATTGTCGCACTGGAGACGTTCTTCTGTCCGCTGCCCGACTTTGGACTCCCAGCGGGGCATACCTGTGAATTCCGGGACTATGTCCGGACGAGGCCTGACCAGATAGCGGAGCGGATTCATGATGCTGATATTGTAATATCGACAATCCTGCCACTGACGGCGGAGATTTTGAGTGCGGATGTATCTCCGCGCCTGAAGAGTATGATTTCCTAGGTCCTCCTTGTCGGCCTAATTGCGCCTCTGTATTCCTGTAGCAGGTTGAAGCACTCAACGCATGGCAAAACAGCTGACTGCAGATCTCTGTTAGTGATATCTATAATTGCATCAGGCACAGACGCTGTGGATTTAGCAGCGTGCCGAGCACGAGGAATAGTTGTGGGCAACACCCCTCACTGCAACGTCACGACGGTCACTGAGCATGTTCTCGCGCTGTATTTCGCAACGCGTCGCTCTATCATGCTCACGAACTCACGAACTCGCGCTGGTGATTGGGTCGTCAAGGGATCCCAGCAAGCTACCATGGATGGTCCCGATGGTAAACCGCCAAGGACATGCCGCGAGGAGCTTGTGGGTATCATCGGTTACGGCGCAATCGGAAGAAATATCGAATCAATAGCTAAAATGATGGGTATGAAGACTATTGTCGCCGGGCGCAAAGGTGCTCCCACTCCAGAGGGTCGCGTCCCGTTCGAGACAGTAATCCGGGACTCATCTGTTCTGATAGTTTGTCTCCCACGTTCGCCTGAGACGCTCAATCTCATCTCTGGACCGGAGTTCGATCAGATGAAACCCTACGGACTGCTGATCAATGTGTCGCGAGGTGGTATTGTGGACGAGAAGGCTCTTGTCTCTGCGCTGAGAGAAGGGAAGATTGCTGGGGCGGGTACAGATGTTTATTCTCAGGAACCAGCAGACTCTTCCATCAACGTTCTGCTCGCACCTGACACGGCGGGCCTCAATTTGGTCACAACACCTCACGTGGCTTGGTACTCGGAAGAGACCTTTGAAAACTACAGTCGGACTTGTAGAGCGAACGTCGCCGGCTTTGTGACGATACGGAAGCCTGAACACCAAGTTTGTTAGCGTTGGCGATGCTGAGGCGTGGTGAGGGGAATACAGGTGCAAAGAAGATCTGAGATTCAACACATATGTGAGCCGAAGTCATCGCTTGCCAGGCGTATAGATGCCTGAGATGGTACACATTGCGGCCTGAACTTCTTTTAGAACTGCGTCTCGAACTATCTACATCTCGTTGAGCTGTATAGATAACATGAGAATATGCTTATAGACTTTATTATGAACTATGAAGAACTTCGCTCCAACTCTACCTAGCCTTATTGACAGTTAGGGTCTAATCTGAAATATGAGCAGCTCTCTCAGCTTCTGTGTTGTCACTTTGATCAGTCACAACCCCCTACCCCAACTCGCGATTACGTAATAATGCGAATTGCTTGGATCCCTAGGTACTACCTAGTTAGTACAGTACCTAGACATCTGACATCTCATCTCACCACCTTCAGTCGCTCGATGCGCTGCATAATGGGATCGGAGATTTTGCCCCGGTCGCTTCGCAAAACCAGATTTGGCGCTGCTGTCGTCATTTTTTGACGGCTCTGTTTGCGACGCCCAATCAAATCATGTCATTCCGGACGGGTAGTCCTAAAGCGGCAATGAACGGCTGGCATCGAAACAAGGTCAAGGGGTTTTCTCTTTCTAATCCGGGGTAAGCCCGTTCCGAATAGGTGGTGTCCACTTCACGCTTGGGTATTCATCTAATAGGTAAGGTATGATGATGTAGTTGAGCCAGGGTCCAGTTCATCCAGGCATTTGTCGACATGTGCAGAGTACAGCCCGGCCGGAGAACCCCCTGAACAAAACCAGGCTAGTATCATGATTTGACTGCTGTGACTGATGCCATAGTGCTACGGTAGGTTGGTGGCGGTCCTTGCAGTCCCTGCATAGTATACATAGAAAATCTCGGGGTTCGCTGTGACTTCATAGTTACTATGCCAACCTTTCCTTCTCAAGTTCACATCACGCAAAACCCAAGAACTTGAATCATAAGAAATGTCAGATGCGTACTTGTATGCTTACTTGTATACCTACGGCAAAAATTTATCGTTATGACCTCCCTACGACCTTACCATAGCACTTCAGACACAGGCGAACAGCGTCCAAGCATCGAACGACCGCGTTTTAATTCCCAAGTTACCTCCGACAGGCTACAAGAGGGCTCAAGATTTGTGGCTTTTCCTATGAGCGGCAAGATTCGGAAAGGGAGGAAGTCAGTGTTTCGGGAAATCGGGCTGGGACTTGATGAAGGGGACACCGAGGATTCGGCCGGTAGGCAGGGCAGTAAGGAGATACAGTACAACGAGAATTCAAGGCGGCCGCCAGAGCCGACAACTCCAGCATATGAACGTAGACATACGATAGGGGGGAAACCGATACGGGAAAAGCCCCGATGGCTCTGGAAGTTTATTCCGGAAAGACGACCGCAGATCAAAGCAGCTGCATCTACACCTCCCACTTCAGTTTCTGGGATACACAGAGCCACTTTGATCGCCTTGCTGATTGCGGTAGTCCTTCCCGCCATAGGCTATAACAGTGGCCGCCACAAGGTTGAAGTTAATGGCGCAGATGCGGGAGTGATTCGGGAACCCATAATCAGATCTGTGCTAGAGAATCGTGCAAACAGCCCAACAGATGTTTGCAAGAGGTGGGCCGCGCAAAGTAGGCATACATACCAGTCATGACGCGTAAGGCAAGGCAGATGCTAATCATGACAGGCACTGTTCTGAATGGGACGCTTTATTACTACGGTGGTCGAGCGAATTTAACTGCTGATCAGACAAGCAGTACATGGAGTACATACCTCATCGACTCTACGTAGCAAAACCTAGCACTAACAATGAGCAGACAATAACTTCATTACTGTGGATCTAACGAAATCGTGGGATATTAGCTCTCCTTCCATAAGCGGGCTGCCTCAACCCGAAGGCCCGCCAGCCGTGTCATTGGGATATCTCTGGAACGACTTCGATCATCTATTTCTGTATGGTGGCGAATTTGATTTTCCGTCTGTCAATCCATCACCTGTTTCGACCTGGATGTACGATATAGCTTCGTCTAGCTGGACAGAATTCAAAACCCCGACGACGTCTGCTGGCCAGTACTCTGACGCAGGAGGTGCGCCCGTGCAGCGTGCAGCAGAAGGAGCTGGAGTATCTGTACCCGAACTAGGTTTGAGTTGGTATTTCGGTGGTCATCTCGATTGGGGCACTACACCAGGTTGGTCGAATCAAATTCCTCGGCTGTACCTAAAGAGTCTACTCGAGTTCACGCATCCCGGTTACGCGAACGTACAAATTGAATCCCTCCACAACTCCGGTGCCCCGGATGGTGGCGCATACCGTAATATTACGTGGGCCGGAGAACAGAATCAAGAAGGATTCTCGGAGCGTGGGGATGGTGTTCTCGTCTATGTTCCCGGCTGGGGCCCGGGGGGGATCTTGCTAGGTCTGGGAGGCGGTGTCGTCGGCGACAATGATACGACGGATGCTTTCTCATCTATGACCACGATTGACGTATACGATATCGCGAGCAGTCAATGGTACCATCAAGAAACGTCCGGCAACGACAAACCCCAGGTGCGCGTGAACCCCTGTGCCGTTGTTTTCTCGGCACCTGACGCAAGCTCTTTCAACATTTACATGTACGGTGGACAAAACCTCCTCCCTGTTGGCCAACAGAAGCAGTACAGCGATCTGTGGATTTTGACGATTCCGTCATTTACGTGGATCAAGGTCGAGACGTCGGGCAGTGAACCTCCCGCTCGCGCAGGACACGCGTGCGCAGCGCGGGACGGCCAAATTGTTGTCGTTGGCGGCTTTATCGACGAGAGTATCCAGTGCG